ATTGTACATCAACCGTCAGGACAAGAGCTGATCAAGTCACTGTTTCTCATAGTGTCCATTTCATTTCAACGAGTTTCCCCCTTGGTGCTCAGTTAGTAGTCGCCGATCAGGGAGAAAATATGATATTTTTCCCTCTGGGACTGGCTCAATTCACTCAGCATGATGTTTTCCAAATTCCTCCATCTTGTTGCAAATGACCGGGTTTCGTTGTTTTTGACTGCTGTATAGTATTCTATAGAGTACATGTCCCATAATTTCTTTATCCAGTCTACTGTTGATGGGCATTTGGGTTGGTTCCAGGTCTTAGCTATTGTGAATTGAGCTGCAATAAACATTAATATGCAGACAGCTTTTTTGTTTGCCAATTTAATTTCCTTTGGGCAAATTCCAAGAAGTGGGATGGCTGGGTTGAATGGTAGGGTTCTATTCATAATACACATTTTCCATTAGCTTTTTTTGAAAAGCCCTTTTGTGGATGAATTTCACAATTTTTTACAGATTTATTTATTCATTTGAAAGGTAGAGTTACAGAGACATGGGAGGGAGGAGAGAGAGAGAGAGAAAGAGAGAGAGAGAGAGAGAAAGAGACTTCCATTTGCTAGTGTTCACTCCCCAGATGGTTGCTAAGGCTGGAGCTGCACCAATCTGAAGCCAGCAGCCAGGAGCTTCTTCTGGGTCTCTCAAATGGGTGCAGGGCCATCTTCTACTGCTTTCCCAGGCCATAGCAGAGAGCTGGATCAAAAGTGGGGCAGCCGGGACTTGAACAAGTGCCCATGCTGCATACCAGGGCTTTAACCTACCGCATCGTAGTGCCTGCCCCAAATTTCACAAAATTTTTTGCGCCAAACTTATCTTTTAATTCCAATTTCCCACCATTTTTTGCAGTTTCTGTGTACTTGAAATCTGGTATGTAGGACTTGGAAGTGTGCTACCTTAAGTTAGACATTCATGCATAATAAAGTGTTTTCGAGGAGCAGATGGCTAGATGAGAGGTTAAGACATGCAGGTGCCCAGTGCTTGATTGCTGGATCTGGTGCCTGATCTAGCTCCCTGCTAATGCAACTGGGACAGCAGCTGAAGATGGCTAAAGTCCTTGGGCCCTTGCACTCACATGGGAGATGCGGAGAAAGTTCCTGGCTTCTGGCTTCTGGCTCCTGGCTTCAGCCTGACCCAGCACCAGTTGTTGCAGCCATTTGGAAAGTGACCCAGCAAATGGAAGATCTCTTTCTCTGTCTCTTTTTCTCTCTCTCTGTAACTCTGCCTTCTGAATAAATAAATAAATCTTTTTAAAAATTAAAAAAAAATTGACTAATATCTTTAAAACATTTAAACATATTAGTCATTAGAGTGAGAGGAGATGTGGAAAGGAGTCTTTATTTTATTTAACTATTTTATTTTTGTGTTCTCTCACCTTTTGTCTAATCTACCAGCCCTTAAAGGGAAATTTATACCAATAAGTTTTTTTAAAAAAATTATTTAATGTATCTAATCTTAACAAAACAACAAAAACAGAGTGAAATTGGTTTAAAATTGACAGTTTTTTCCCCTTATGCCTGTCTAGATTGGCCCAGAGAGATCATAGAATTCTTCTTGAAAGATAACTGCACTCATTTTCCTAAAGAAAAGGAAACCTGTTAAAGTGAAATGAATATTATGAGAAACGGTGACTTGATCAGCCCTCACCCTGACTGTTGATGAGCAGCTTACTATGTTATCCCTCTTAGTATTTTTTTTTGTTTGTTCTACTTAATACTTTTGGTTGAATACTGTAATCAATACACAATTCTTCTTAAGTGCTGAAACTTAACTGAAAAGTGATCACTGTTAAATGTAAGAGTGGGAATAAGAGAGGGAAGAGATGTGCAATTCGGGACATGCTCAAGCTGACTTACCTCAAACGGTAGAGTTAGAAACATACCAGGGGATTCCAATTCAATCCCATCAAGGTGGCATGTACCAATGCCATCTCAGTAGTCCCAGTGATCAATTTCTGTTCACAATTGATCGTAATGATAGGACTAAGAGCCAAAGGGATCACATAAACAAGAATAGTGTCTGCAAATACTAGCTGATAGAAGAAAAAAGGGAGAGAATGATCCAACATGGGAAGTGAGATACACAGCAGACCCATAGAATGGCAGATGTCCTAAACAACACTCTGGCCTCAGAATCAGCCCTTAAGGCATGCAGATCCAGCTGAAAAGCCCATGAGAGTATTTCAGGCATGGAAAGCCAAGACACTCTGGAGAAAAAAAAAAAAAAAAACCTAAATGAAAGATCTCCGCGAGTGAGATCCCAGTGGAAAGAACAGACCATCAAAGAAGGAGGTACCTTTCTCTGAAGGGAGGAGAGAACTTCCACTTTGACCATGGCCTTGTCTAAATATGATCAGAGTCAGTGAACTCAGAGGGCTTCCATAGCCTTGGCAGCTCATGACAAGAGCCTAGGGTGATTTCTGATGCCATAAACAAGAGTGTCAATTTGTTAAGTCAACAACAGGAGTCACTGTGCACTTACTCCTCATGTAGGATCTTTGTCCTTAGTGTGCTGTACATTGAGATTTAATGCTGTAACTAGTACTCAAACAGTATTTTTCACTTTATGTTTCTGTGTGGGAGCAAACTGTTGAAATCTTTACTTAATGTATGCTAAACTGATCTTCTGTATATAAAGAGAATTGAAAATGAATCTTGATGTGAATGGAAGGGGAGAGGGAGTGGGAAAGGGGAGGGTTGCGGGTAGGAGGGACGTTATGGGGGGGGAAGCCATTGTAATCCATAAGATGTACTTTGGAAATTTATATTCATTAAATGAAAGTTTAAAAAAAAAGAAGGAAGGATAGTATAAAGCAACTGTTCTTGGTACAAAGAAATCTTGAATCCATTAGCTAAGTCATAATTTTACAAAATACAAGACAAGAATACAGTTTAAGACTAATTATTCCTTTATTAATCTATATTGATTTAAATTTCTCTCTACATTTAGAAATCGGGAGAAAATGTTAAGGGATTGTAATTTCTATAGGTTAGACACTTAAAGGTGCTAAGATCTAATGGATTATTATAGGAAAAGTCATTCTTTCCCCAATGTATACTTTGTTAATTCTGTATAGTCAACCTGAACGCTTTTTAGTCCTTTTCAATATCAATTCTCTAAAACTTAGGAAGGGAAATTCATTGCCTTTGAAAAGAGTTTTTTTTTTGTAGCTAAGAAACCAGCTATCTTAGCAACACTGTGTTTTCTACCGATGGCAAAGTTGGTATTTAAATGATGCCTTTCTCAAAAAAGATCACTTGGCTAGTAACAATTTAAAAAGTCCTTTGCCAGAAAAATTGAGAACAGATGTGTTAATGTTATAAAAACTGATTTTATATTTTTAGCATTTGGTGGTTTGACACTTTAGCACTGAATAGTAGGGTGACAAATTACTTTTATATCCCATTAATTTCAAACACAATTGTTATTTATTCAAATTGTACAAATTGCAAAAGTTCAGAGTTTTTGTACCTTCTCATGAATTGGACTCTACTGTATATAAGTGCCTTCCATAGCTTCTGTTTCAGGTGTTGTCAGCCTACACACAAGTATCCAGGGTCTCATAGAATTATCACATGAAGGTTCTTAAAATCTTTTGTTTATTTTCATTCATAGTATGTCTTCTGACAATTACATACATCTCGTGTTACGGCATTTTGAACATACAATATAATTCTCTTTCTGTGTTTTTTGCAACTTTTCCACATGTGGTAAAGCTGGCTTCCCACTGGATACATTTATTTATTTTTTTGACAGGCAGAGTGGACAGTGAGAGAGAGACAGAGAGAAAGGTCTTCCTTTGCCGTTGGTTCACCCTCCAATGGCCGCCACGGCCGGGGTGCTGTGGCCAGCGCACCACGCTGATCTGAAGGCAGGAGCCAGGTGCTTATCCTGGTCTCCCATGGGGTGCAGGGCCCAAGCACTTGGGCCATCCTCCACTGCCCTCCCGGGCCACAGCAGAGAGCTGGCCTGAAAGCGGAGCAACCGGGACAGAATTTGGCGCCCCGACCGGGACTAGAACCCGGTGTGCCAGTGCCACAGGCGGAGGATTAGCCTAGTGAGCCGCGGCGCCGGCCTGGATACATTTTGTTTGGCTACTACTATGGAACACAATAAAGTAAGTTTACTAACATAATAAAATATTTTCAGAACTTCTAATACTACAAGTTTAGTCTGGTAAGTACTGTATTGAATGCTAACTTCTCAATTCTGGATGTTCTATTTACAGAGATCATGTACAGATATTTATGTATATCTTCCATTCAACTAAATAGTAACAGATTTTCTGATTAGTGGTCATAAGTCCGTCCCTTCCCCTTCCTCCACCTAATTTTCCTCTGATGATTATTTGGTTGTTTCAGAGACCCAAAGTGGGAACTACTCCACTATTATATTTCACCTCATCACATTATCTTTCTGAATTTATGTAAACTATATATGCAAAGGTTTAAGACTCAAGGTTCTTACATTTTGTCACCAATTATAGTATTTTTTTAGCTTGACCTAAGAAACTAAAATGTCACGAGAAAAATTCTGCCTGGAATATAAATTGGAGGAAAGAGCAAACAATTTAGGAGTCCTTTTAAATAAAAATCACCAATACTTCTTGGAGCTTCACAAGTTGTAATGCTCATCCACTGTGCTAATAGCAGTGGTTAAAATAGTGTGGGGGCAGTTAATATTAGATCACTCAGATATCCTTCAGAAAGCTTCAAGAGTAAGAAAAGTCTGAAAGAAATGGATGAAAGGGAAAACTGTGTAATAGTTGTTAGGCTAATGGAGGATGCTGGCTTGCTTCTTTTCTCTCCAAAACTAAATAAGCTAAATTACTATAGTAGAAGCAATTATGCTTTGTGCCTTCCTCTTTGGAGTGTGTGTTTTTTCCTGAAATAATTGCATTCATCACACATGTGGGATTGATATGGTCACCCAATTTCATTAAAAGCCTCTCTCTCCTGCCTTAGGTACCCTTGGAAACATTGAATGGCTTTGACTCACAGGAGAACTGAAACTTCACATTCTTCCACTTAATCAGTCTCTGAGTAAGTAAACTTGTAAACACACAGACACAGAGGCACACATATGCAACACATACACACTATATATATATATACATATATATGTAACAAATATAGATATACATGTATGAAATTTCTGATAGGTACAATGTATCTCACAAAAAGCAGAAAAAAATGCAAAATGTTGGAGCACAGAAATGCCATATTTTATCTCACATAATATATTAATCCAAGGGTATAACCTGGAAAATTAATGTGCATGGATTCAGGGAAATAATATACCTTAGAATAAAATGGGTATTCATTTTCATTGTATTCACCTGAGTAATTAAAGGATATCAATGCCCAGGCTCCTCTCTGTACCAATTAAATCAGGTCAGTGGAGAGCATTGTTTTTGTTTTTGTTTTTGCTATGTGATCCAGTTTTTTTAACTTTCATTTAATAAATATAAATTTCCAAAGTACAACTTTTGGATTATAGCTTTTTCCCCCATAACCACCCTCCTGCCTGCAACCATCCCATTTCCTACTCCCTCTCCCATCCAATTCACATCAGATTCATTTTCTTCTTCTTCTTCTTCTTTTTTTTTTTTTTTTTTTTTTTTTTGGACAGGCAGAGTGGACAGCGAGAGAGACAGAGAGAAAGGTCTTCCTTTACCGTTGGTTAACCCTCCAATGGCCGCTGCTGCCAGCACACTGCGGCCAGCGCACCACGCTGATCCGAAGCCAGAAGCCAGGTGCTTATCCTGGTCTCCCATGCAGGTGCAGGGCCCAAGGATTTGGGCCATCCTCCACTGCACTCCCGGGCCACAGCAGAGAGCTGGCCTGGAAGAGGGGCAACCGGGACAGAATCTGGCACCCCGACCGGGACTAGAACCCGGTGTGCTGGCGCTGCTAGGCGGAGGATTAGCCTATTGAGCCGCGGCGCCGGCCAAGATTCATTTTCAATTATCTTTATATACATAAGATCAGTTTAGTATATACTAAGTAAAGATTTCAACAGTTTGCACCCACACAGAAACACAAAGTATAAAGTACTGTTTGAGTACTAGTTATAGCATTAATTCACATTGTACAACACATTAAGGACAGAGATCCTACATGAGGAGTAAGTGCACAGTGACTCCTATTGTTGATTTAACAATTGACACTCTTATTTATGACATCAGTAATCACCTGAGGCTCTTGTCATGAGCTGCCAAGGCTATGGAAGCCTCTTGAGTGCGCCAACTCCGATCTTATTTAGACAAGGCCATAATTAAAGTGGAAGTTCTCTTCTCCCTTCAGAGAAAGGTACTGCCTTCTTTGATGGCCCGTTCTTTCTGCTGGGATCTCACTCACAGAGATCTTTCATTTAGGTTTTTGTTTGTTTGTTTGTTTGTTTGTTTGTTTTTGCCAGAGTGTCTTGGCTTTCCATGTATGAAATAGAGAGCACTGTTGTATTGGGGGAGCTTTAAAACACTCCAATGACAAAGCCACATTTCAAACCAATCAAACTCATTAAATCCGATGATTCTAATGTTTGAAAATGAAGTACAGATGTAGGATCCAGACATTTGTATTCTTGAAAATCTCTCCAGGATATTCTAATCCAGTTCATTAATTGTGAATCACTAATACAGATCAAGAATTCCTGCCCAAACAAACTAACTTCAGGCAAAAGCTGAAGGCAGTCTGGAGCAGAACCAGTAAATCAAGTTGATTTCTGGGTTCAATTTGTGAGATGATTTTGTTTCACATATTTCTAAATTTTATGAATATTCTAAAATATCTGCTACCAACATTTTAAATTATTAGAGTGGGAAACTCAGATTAAAGAGCATTTACTAAGCTTATGACAAAAACCAAAAACCCCATTGCCCATCATAAAAAAAAAAAAACATAAAACAAAAAATAAACCATCCCAGGAAGGCCCTTGAGGATGACTGAAACGCTTTATGCATGAATGGGTCTGTGAATGCAGAGGCGTGGGAAGAGGCATCTGTCATCTCTCTCACATTCCACTCGCAATGATGTGGGACTCCAATATTTCTCTTAATATTCTATAATTCCCTTTCCTGTGCATCCCACTGCACCAATGACAATGCAAATGCCTTCTGTATCCCATGTTATTTCAGATCAGAGTTTTACTAAGTGTTCTGCCAGTATATACATTGAATCACTCTCTCTGATTTTTCTCACTTTGTTTGTGGCCTTTTCTAACAGTCCCTGCAAACACCCTTCCAGATCGGCCTACTGCCTAATACCAATACCAGTAGAATACTTTTTATTTTTTGTAGACTTCAGCATCTCATTTGCATGAGTAATAATGATTTCAATCACCAAATAAAATTATGCCTTTTTTTTTAACTTCCTACCTACTGTGTGGAATCACACAGTACAGATGCTTTTGTGATTGACTTCTTTTGTTTAATTTTTTTTAAAAAAATTTTTATTTATTTGAAAGTCAGAGTTACACAGGGAGAGAAGGAGAGGTAGAGAGAGAGGTCTTCTAACTACTGATTCACTCCTCAGTAAACCCCAAATGCAGGAGCTGGGCTGATCCGAAGCCACGAGCCAGGAGCTTCTTCTGGGTCTCCCGCAATGCAGGGGCCCAAGGACTTGGACCATCTTTTACTGCTTTCCCAGGCCATAGCAGAGAGTTGGATTGAAAGTGGAGCAGCTCAGTCTCGAACCCATATGGAATTCTAACACTTTAGGCGGCGGCTCTACCTGCTATGCCACAGTGCTGGCCCTGTTTAATTTTATAACTGTGGAAGTGATTCACAATTTTACTTGTATCAGTTGCTCTCCTTCTATTGCAATGTAGTATGCCATCATAGAACCTCAGATATATACTCATATGATGGATATTTAGTACATTTCTACTTAGACCATTACACATACAAATTCTCTGAACTTCTCCCTGACTTTTATTTTGGTGGACATGATTTCCTATTTCTCCCAGGTATATACTTTACAGTAGAATTGCTGGGTCATAAAGCAGGAGTATGTTTAGTTTTAGTAGATACTTAGTGTTTTCATAGTAGCTCACCATATTTCTACTCCCCCGAGTTACATACATTGGTTACAATTGATTCATATTTCAATGTTTGTAGAGTCACCTCATAAGCTCAACCTTTGGATTTCAAACTGTCAATGACATAGTATTTAAACAGATGCAAGATATGGAGAATGAAACATGAATCAAACCCATTTAGATAAAGTAATAGTAAATATATTTGAAGTATTCTGCCATATTTCAATAATATTTTTCTTTTTGTGTCTATAATTATAATCACTACATTTATGCTTATGAAAATGTAATTCAGTAGGTTTTTAATGTAAAAATATATAGTATATTACCATTATATGTTATTGCCTATGGTACAATAGAAATCAAATTTCATTTTAAAGATTTATTTATTTATTTATTTGAAAGGCAGAATTACAAAGAGGCAGAGGCCAAGAGAGAGAGAGAGAGGTCTTCCAACCACTGATTCACTCCCAAGATTGCTGCAGTGGCCAGAGGATGTGCCTATCCAAAGCCAGGAGCCAGGAGCTTCTTCCAGGTTTCCTTTATGTGGATACAGGGGCCCAAGGACATGGGCCATGTTCTACTGCTTTCCCAGGCCATAGCAGAGAACTGAATCAGAAGTGGAGCAGCTGGGACTCAAACTGGTACCCATATGGGATGCCAGTGCTGCAGGCAGCAGCTTTACCCACCACTCCACAATGCTGGGCCTCTAGAATTTCTTACTCATATCTAGTGGTGACCTCATACCCATCAATCAACCTTTCCCTCACCCCTCTCTTTTCCTGCTCAGTGTCTGATAACCACCATTACATTTTTAGCTTATTTGAGATAACATATTTTTTAGACTTCACATATGAGTGACATCATGTGTTATTTGTCCTCTTACATCTTATTTATTTCACTTAATAATATTCCATTTTATCCTTATTGCTGCAAATGACTGCATTCTTTTTATGATATACTCATATTCCACTGTGTATATACAACACATTTTCTTCATTTATTCACAAGTGGATGGACACTTACTGTTGTTTGCTTTTCTTTGCTATTGTGAACATTGCTACAATGAATTTGAGAATGCAACTGTTTCTTTGATACATGGATTTCATCCTCCTTTGATATATATCCAGGATGGATTACTAGGTCATATGGTAGCTCTAGTTTAGTTTTTTAAGAGACTCCATACTGTTTTCCACAATTTCCATATTTCCATTCCTAAGAATAGTGTACAAGGGCTCCTTTTTCTCTACATGTTGGCCAATACTTGTTATCTTTTTTTTTTCTTTTTCATAATAGCCAGTCTTACTGGAGTAATGTGATATGTCATTGTGGTTTTGGTTTGCATTTCCCTGATGAGTGTTTGTACTTGTTGGCCTTTTTAATATTTTTCTTTGAGAAATGTCTGCTTAGATCTGTCCATATATAAATTGGATTTATTATTATTTTTACTACTGAGTTTTTAAAAATATTCTGGACATTAACCCTTTCACAGGTGTGTATAGCTTGAAAATATTTTCTACCATTCTGTAGATTGTCTTTTCACTCTGTTGATTATTTCCCTTGTTGTGCAATAGCTCTTTAGTTTGATGAAACCCAATTTGTAATCGCTTCTTGGCCTTTTGGCTAAGATTAAGTGTGAAATCCAATTTGTCTATTTTTGCTTCCATGTCCTGTGCTTTTGGGGTCAGGTCTATAAAATCCTTGACTATTCCTGAATTGTTTTCCCCTAACAGTTTCAAAGTTTCAGGTTTCATATCTAGTTTTTCAATCCATTTTGAGTTGATTTTTGTGTAAGCTGAGAGACAGGAGTCTAGTTTGATACCTCTGAATGTAGACATCCAATTTTCCCATTATGCTATATTTTCTGTAGGCTTTCCTCATTCCCCTTTTTTCTTTCACAACTGTGTATTTTCAATTGTGTGTATCCTGTCTTCAAGCTCACTGATTCTTTCTTCTCTTTGATCCACCGCGCTTATGATGCCTCCATCCCAGTTTTAATTTCACTTAC